CCAAAATTTAATTGGATTAAGTCATTAATTAATGAATTAATAAAATAAAATTTATCTTTCACAAAAAAAAAATACAACGCTAAGAAAAATAAATCACAATAATTTTTTTATGAAATAAAAATTCTAGAGTTGAGGAAAAACCGAAATTTGCCAAACGGAATTCCAAAATTTAATTGGATTAATTTATTAATTAACGCATTTATTAATTATTTAATAGATTAATGTATCAATTGATGTATGCAATGACAAAATTGAATGTAGTTTTCACAAAAAATTAATTACGACACCGTTAAAAATAGCGCGCATGAAATTTAGGCACGTCGCGACTCTCCAATAGGCGAATTTGAATTATCCGATTTCATGTAGCAATGTTGAGGCATGTGGTGAAAGCACGTGTGGATTGTACTCGAGGTGTGCTCGATGAATCGAGCGTACGAGTGCCCACGTTTGCATGGCTCTCGTGTAATCTTTTTTCACTCATTTTCAGGCGTCACGAGAACAATGAGGCACGGAATCGTCTGACCGTGCCGAGTATTTTTCTACTTTTTGTGACTAGAGGTGTCGGCACGTGGAGAAGTCATCGGCTTTTCGTTCATTCATACTCAGATTCTTCCCTCGACACCTCGTGAGGACGATTCATCGTGAAAATGTGTGTGTGGATTTTTTTTTGGGTTTAATATTGTCTTGCGGGATTTCTCGGGGGATTTCTGCTTGAAGTGTTTTCGTGGAGGGTCAATGATGGCATTCGTGATGTTGCATCACGCTGATGCGCATTGATTCACGTATGAGTGGCTCTCGAAAGTATTTGAGGTAATCGGTGTGTCGTTCACCCGATCAGATGTTCCTGTGATTTTTTATCGTTTTTCAGTTGATCTTGAAACGAGGATGTGATTTTTTTTTATTTTACAAAAAAAGTTCGACTAGCCCATTCTTACGGGGTATTCAATGTTTAATCGGGAGGAGATCGAGGTGGAATTAATAATCTTTTTTATAAAAATTCTAGACGATTGATTTAGCTAAGATTAGATGATTTTGTATTCTCGTGTTTTTTTTGCTTTGTCGTTTTCGAATGGAAGCTTTGTAATGAATGGGTGGAATTCAATGTTTTTTTTAAACTGTAGATATTATTGAGCCCTATTACTCAAAATTTAATTCATCGATTAGTTTTTTTAATTTTCGATTTTTTTGAAAATCGGTTGTCTCACGATAACCAAAAAAAATGTTCTGAATTGATTTAATGATGGCTTAAAAAATTTGTTTGGATGTCCTTTTGACCGAGTTCGAAGATGAAGGCGTAGCAATAATAATTACTTTGATTTATTTGAAAATTTGCAAAAATTTTGTATTTTTTGAAAGTCAGAATTCCGGGGATATCTGTGAATATCATGCTTAAAATGAATTCAATCATAGCTTAAAATGTTTGTTTCAATGCCATTAAGTCGAAGTTGGAAGATGATTACGGTAGCTATATTGGTTGATTTGATTTTTATGATGATTGTTGAAAATTTAGAATTTTTCATGAATTTCCCTGAAAGAGAGCTTTCTGATGGTTTCTTCAAATGAGATGTTTCAAATTCATTCAAGTATGTATAAATAAAAACTTTCTATTAACATTTTATCGCAGGGCTGAGGGGAGAGACAGAACCGTAAAAAAGACAATCGATTGTATAGAAGAAAGGGATAATAATAATAATGATGATGATAACATTCAACTAAGTTGAAAATCTGCCAAAATTAATTGAAAGGAAGTCTTATTCTATCTAATAAGATGAACTAAATAATGAATTATACATGATAGAAGGAAATGATGTGCAAAATAACCATGCGGAAGCATATTGCTAATTTATTAGCACAAATAAGAGCAATTTCCCACTTGTTTTTCAATCTTTTCAAGAAAATAGAAACAAATTAGTGTTGCACGAAATTTTTTCACATCGAATTACAAAAAAATGACTAAATAACATTTTTTTCAGTTTTGTTGAGTTGAAAAATAAGTGTTTCAATATTTTTCTTTAAATTTCGGAATTTTATCATTTTCTTTAATGAAAAAAAAACATTGTAGAAACACCCACTGAACGCTTTGGTGCGGCAAAGTAATAATGACAAATAATAATTAAAGTATTCCTTATCATCAAACTCTGCACACGAGGTCGCCACAGAATCATTAACATCTCATTATTGCCATTACAATGTATATTGCATAATTGGACCTGTTCCATCGGAATGTCGTGTAGTAAACGTTCTCGCAGTGAACTGAGAGTAATTACACGGCAGCATCGCATCCTTCAACTGTATTCCAATTTTCCATGATCTTTTTTTTTATCATTCATTTTTTTTTCATGGAAAATTATTGATGTATCAATTTCCTCAGGAAACTGACATCTTCTTGCGTGTCTCGATATTTTTTTCCTATTTCAGGACAATCTCGGGAGATTATTTCAAGCAACAAACTTCAATATTTTTATTTAAATGAATTTCAGATTTTTGTTTGCGGTATTTCTCTCGAAGGAAGTCACTGCGTTCGATTTTTCGTTCTTATATTTATTTTTTAATGTAAATATTTTCTATTCTACTTCATTTCAATTGCATTAATTTGGAGAATTATTGACGATTATTGATTGATAAATTTGTGAATGTTTTTATAGAGAACTTTATTGTAGTAAAAATTCTGAGATTAACGAATTGGAATCAAATAAATATTTTCATTAAAAATTTTACTATCCACTTGAACGATATTTCTGTTAAAAATTCGTAAACTCATATTTTTAATTCAACAAAAATATTTCTATTCGTGCATTCTATTCTGAAATGTCACGCAAAAATAAAATTCAGTTTCGCGGGGAAAATTTTCGTTTCTCCTGTTTTCATTGAACAATTGAAGTGTCTGGAACCACGTATGTAGTATTGGCTCATGACATTAGATCCGGGAAATCTCTTCAAACTGGTATTCCATCACGGTGATAACTCAATTATTACTGACAACATATTGATATTTATTTCCGTAATAGGTTTGCATAGAGAGGCGATTTATGGACTGAATTGTTGAATAAATTTCGATACCCAGCGATTGGTCCTCGGACTTCGGATGATCATCGTCATACGTAAGTATTGAATGATAAAGCAATTGTGCATGGGATTCGCACGTGCATAATTCGTGGATGCATGAAACAATTCGAGGATGATTATTTCTCATCAGCCCGGGTTGCACCAAGCGCTCTCAAGTGTAATATAAGGGTCAGCCACTGAGTGTGAGAATATAAGGGTCAAAAAGTGGAGGTTAAAAAATGAGGGTCGGAATATTAGAGTCAAAAACTGAGGGCCTGAATGTAAAGGTGAAGGAATGAGGGTCAGAATGTTAGGGTTAAAAAAAGAGGGTCAGAATATTAGGATCAAAAAATTAGGGTCAGAATATAAAAGTAAAAAAAGTGGGTGTCAGGCAATGAGGGTCATATAAGGGCTAAAAACGGTGATCAAGCATAATATATGACTTATATTTAGACACTCATTGCCTGACACCCACTTTTTTTCTTTTATATTCTGACCCTAATGTTTAGACCCTAATATTCAGACCCTCATTTTTTAACCTCCACTTTTTGACCCTTATATTCTGACACTTAGTGCCTGACCCTTATATTACACTTAAGAGGGCTTGCAACAACCCGGCCTGATACAAAACAATCATCTTCGAATTGAAATACTCATCCCCCGATTGAGTATAAAATATACTTGAATCAAGTTTTTTTTTTTCGTGGATTCAATCCCTCAACATGAAAATTTTCAAGTAACTAGTTCAGTCTGCATTTGAACATTTCTTGAATATTAATTTGTTTTGCATTACTTTGACTTTGCACATGAAACGCCTTAAATTTTTCATACGAACGAAGGAAGGAAATTCAATTCGTTTTGCCGATTCCCTAGAATTTCCCTGTGGAGCAAAAATTTTCGTCACGTGTCAGTCCGAGCTCAACGGAATAAACTACATAGGTGTGTTTATGATGATGGTAACGATGCGGTGGGTTCATCAATATTCCCAGCACGAGGGAATTTCGGTTACAGGATTCGCGACGAGACGTTTTTTCTGTTTTCCTCGTCAGACAAATTCTTAATCTATTTAAATAAATTGCATATTTCGATGGCAATTTTATTGTGGCATCTAATTCTTTGATGGTGAAACAGTCAAAATCAAATGTTGGAATAAAAGAATTGATTTACTTTTCACTTTCGTTGTTTTTGCATTTGTCTCGGAAATGAAGGGTTTTCGGAAAAAATGTAAAAAATCTTTTCTGTAGGTGACAAAATTCGCAAAAACAATTGTCTTTTCACATTGTCTTCTATACCCACTTGTTACCGAGATAATCTCGCATAAAGAAAATGTCAAAACTTCAAGATGGAGATGAAGAATGAGAATAAAGTTTCGTGATATTTTTGGATAAATTCACCCATTTTTGAAGTAAATAAGGCATGAAAGATGTCTATTGTAAGAAAATATACAGTTGCGAGGTTTTTTCCACTTATAAACCCTCAATTATTTCAATATTGAGCGATTTTATATGAAATTGTGAAAAAAAAATTTTTTTTTAGAGAACTTCCTCAGACAGATTCTATAACATTGTTCTGTGAAATCTCTTATTTTTTAGGTGAAGAAAGAATTAAAATTACCCATTGTCTTGTATTTGTCGATAACATTTTGTGTAGAAAATTTTTTAATTGACTTATTTGTTAGTTGAACATGTCAATAGAATCAGCCAAAAACTAATAGAAAGTTTAATAGAACTCAATAAAATTTTCCAACGAATGCGATAGGTTTTTCTATTAAATATTTTCGTGCGTGTTGTCCTATATCCACCTAAGAAATAGACAATTTCATTGAAAAACGTCTAACAAACTTTATTCCAGCTGACAAACTAAAAATAAGCAATAAATCCCCCGACATTTCCCTCCAAACCCACCGAAAGAAATTGCGTTTTTTCCAAAATTTCCATAAAAAACAATGAACTCACTTCTCGGCCATTTCCGCCTGCCGTCCGCGTGCACAGGCAGTGCGGCATTGAAAAATCTGTTGACAACAATGGCTGATTTCGACTGAAGGTTCCTAGGATCATTATCCGAGTAATCCTCAGTATCCGTAGAACAAGGCGGTGGAGTTGTGCTGACAGGGGAGAAACTGCTGCCGGCTAATCTACTCCAAATAGACATGCAGTGCTTCATCTCGTATTGTACTTTAGTCTCTGGCACAAGTCACACTCACTAAATATATCTCCGCAGAATGGGAAGAAAGAAGCTCAAGCGAGAAAAAAAAATCAATTGTTTAAATTAAATGTCTCAGGTGATGGAACACACTGCGCGATGATTCCTCATTCGCGTTTTGTCACTGAGGCGGATCGCGGACTCAGTTTCTCGAGCGCGAAGCGCTATCACCACTCATTAAAGTCTCCCCTTGTTCCTCAAAAAGTGAACGAACACGGGAGAAAAGTTTATTTCTTCAGGAAAATTCTGGAAGGATTTTAATCAAGAGCTTTTCCACTTCTGAGGTCTCGGCTGTCGCTAATACTCTTTATTTAGTTCTTCATTTATTTTATGATATTCATTTATTTATTTATTTATTTAGTTTATTTAGCTATTTATTTAGTTTATTTATTTATTTATTGAAATTGCAGTAACCGATCCTCTCAGTTTGCGATACTGTGCAGAAGTGTTGTGACACGGTTTGAGCTACTTTGAAAAATATCGGCGTTGTGCTGCTTATTCTGAGGAACAAGCCAACACACCCCACCCCTGGGGCCCCGATCCAACGGTGGAAGTGGCGGTCGCACGTGGATCTTGGACCAATCGCCGATCACTGGCTTTCTTGCTCTGTTCACTGTGCACTTTTACTATTTATTTCACCTGTGTTTGCGTCTTCCCCCTGTCGGGCGACTTTTTTTCCACGTTTTTTCATTGTAGCGCTCGGTGGGTTTTCCTCGTGACAGAAGCTGCGACGTTTTTGCGGGACCATTACTGGTGCGTAATTAAATATAAAGTGGTTCATTCGGGGGATTGCGGGTTTTTTGGGGTATATTGAAGGAATGCTATCGAAACGAGTGGACAATTGCATTTTTTGCGTTCGAACGGAAGCTTTGTAATCGTGAAAGGGAAGTTTTGGACTTTTTGTGTTCTATCGAGCCAGTAGGATCCTAAAAGTCCGGAAATGCAATTTTTAGACCTCGTCCGTACGGGTGTGGACAAAGAATGTAACAAAGTTTTTCGACAATTCACTGTTCAAAATTTTCCACTAAAATGTCTGGACAGTCTTGGAAATTAGTAGCAAAACATTTGCACTGAAATTTCAAAGAATTTTGTCATTGAAAATTCATAATTTTATGGAAAAGTCCGTGGAACTGTAAATTTCAGTTCAATTATTCCGGGACAATTAATGAAAAATCAAGAAAATTCAGAGAAGTTTCTCCTTGAATTCCAGATTTCTCTGAATTTTCAGGGAATTTCTGAAAAATTCCTGGAATTCCCAGGTATCTGCAGGGAACTTCTTAAAAGTTCCTGGAATTCCCTAAAATTCAACAGAGATTGGCAGTAAATATTCATTTTCACTTGAAAATTCATGTAAACTGTGGAATTTCCGTCTTTTACCGCTACAAAATTGGGACTTCGCTTGAATTTTCAGAGAAACTTGAAATTCCAATTGACTTCTTCCCCTTAAATCAGTCACGCAGATCTTTTTCCGGAAAATTCCAATTTTTTGACAGTTTTGTTCGCTAATGACTGGATGGAATTGAATTTTTTTTTTCAAATGTAGTTATTGAGCCCTATCAATCGCCATTAATTAAAATTTAATTCGTCGATTAATTTTTCCAACTTTCGAAGGTTTCAACTTCAGACTTTTTAAAGTCTCCATTTGAGATCATCAGGTTCAAAATAAAGCTGTTTTTTTAGGTGTTATTCACATTATTGAAATGATTGAATAGTGTGAAAAGATTTTCAATTCCAGTTTTAATCGTCTTTTCCATTTTGACGAGCATTCCACGAGTAAAATAATGGATTTTTCATTACCCAAATCATCAAAGATTTGAAAAGAACTGGATATCATCAGCATAATGTTCTGAATATTTTGTCAACCATTGCTCCCATAAATTCGGATAAAGAATCTCATAAACAGCCATTATTACAATTTTATGGTACGACATAACAGCTTTAGGCTTTTATAAGAATCTTCGAGAAGTGCATCATCACTTCGAAAAATATCTGGAAACATCTTCTATGCTGAGGCGTTGGATATTTATTGAAAGCGTCGAAAAATGTGAACAAAAAAATCTAGGATCCATCGGCAGATGTATTTTTTCATTCTCCATTTCATCACTCATGTTGATCGTAAATTACTTAAAAACTGTTGACAAAAAGGCTACGGAATTCCAGTGTTATGTTGAATATATTAATTGGAGAACTGGTTTGTGCAGCGTCATTGTGACGGATATTTTATTTCCATTCATATCTTCCGCCTTTTGGGGACGAGAGGGATTTATGAATGCGTTGAGGAAACTGGAGATTTTGCCGAAGTATTTGCGACACATTCATCTGTTCGATCGTCGATAAGGCCCCACGAGTTTATTTCTACAAATGCATATAATTCGATATTCCTTTTTTCAATCAATTGTTTATTATAATTTTCACTGCGAAAAGCAATACGACTGACGAGAATCCTATGTCCCAATTTATCAGATGAATTTTTATGTGACAATAAATGAATGAATGAATAATATTTTAAGGATGTTTAGCCAAAACCCACATTATTCACAATAATTTTGATATTGTCTCATATGCCAGGTTCATATTTGAGCAACACGTTAGTAATAATCTTACTCCTTCCATCGGGGCGTCCTATTGAGAAATGAATTTCTGATAATCACTTCTTGTAACATTACGCTGAGGGAAGAAACGTGATCGTGTGAACTTTGATCGAGATGTTGCATGGGTTAGACACTCAAGATATTGAACAAAAACCACAAGCCATTTAGTTTAGACTATGGAGAATCTATCGCCGGCGAGAACAAGTAGGGGACCGGGCCCTATAGGCGTGATATCTTCGATTGATTTTCGAATTCCTCTAAAAAAAATTTGACCGCCATTCCGAGTCGAGCAACGCGACAACACCGCACAACAGCTGATCGACGTCGGTAAAGTCGGTGACGATAATTCAGTGCTGGAAGCATATGGACACGTATAACACACACAAACATTCATCTCACTGTTACAACCCCACTACTAGCCGAAGCGTGCGATGTTGCCCGATCAAAATTCGACTGTTACCACTGCAGTCACAAGTCCTCCATTATCTATGAACATTTTCTTTAATTATTGTTTTTGAGACCGGAAAAGTACGCCATAACACTTCTAGTTTGATGAGAAAAATCATTTGTGAATGATTTATTTAGCCAATTTTATTTTTCTTTCCAACTGAGTTGTCCACTTGATAGGTTAAACATCTTTAGTCAAAATTACAATTCAATTCCTTCTGAAACACACTTTAGAGTATGATTTTCTGGAATTCAATGTTTGTTGATACTCTGGTAGAAGTTCGTACCCACACGGTAATTCTCTCCTATACTTGACGTAAAAAAGTGAGATAATCTCATAATTCTAACTATTAATTCCAATAAACTTCGTTCGATGAAAACCTTAGTAAACGCAATATTAAGAAAGTAGAATTATTCTATTTTCCTCTGACACTCGCCTTCCAAATAACACATCCAAATTCTCTCATTAAGACAAAAATAACTTCAACATCAAAGAAAAAAAATTTCCATCATGCCCAAATTTGAATAAAATATTCCCCAATTCTGCGTCAAAGTCGAAAATATTTTCCTTATATTACGATGCACGCAATTTATCAGTTGGACGCCAGAATGACTCCGTAATGGGCCATTAGGATTTTGTTATACTCGAAATAGTTTTAGAAGCAACGCCCAGCTGTGTTTTCTAATTGGATGAGCCACTAGGCGAAAAGTAGCTGGAGATAAATATCCGGAGGGAGACGTGAAGCTGTAAAAAATAAAACCAAGGAGAGGACTGCGTCTACATGGGGAGAGGAGCCGCACAGAAGTCCTTGAGGAAGGTAACAAAAGAACATAAAAGTCTGTCCAGAAAGATCTAGTGTCAGCAGCACGGGGTCATTAGGGCCTTCTTCTCTCAAAAAAGAAAAATCTCTAGAATTTAATTTTTAATGCAAAAACACGATTCATCTTGGCTGAAGGTCCTCGGGCGATGGCCTGTTGCAAGAAAATTATGTTTCTGTGCATTTTTCTTGCCATAAATTTCGTCAAAAATTAAATTAATTCAGTAGCGAAGTGGTAAGGCGATGAGTCCATTTTGACTATTGACCAGTTTTCAATCAATATCTCGGACCCTAAGGGAGATAGCGAAATTTTCGTAATTACATTTGTTATAGCACTCAATTGGCTCTACAAAAAAGGTTATGACAAAAATTTCGCCATCTTCCTTAGATTCCGAGATATTGAATGAAAACTGGTCAATAGTCAAAATTGACTTATCTTTTTTTACCCCTTCGCTACTGAATTATGATTCATCTCATGGACTGTCGCCTTTAGAAGTTTAACCACCGGTCCTCTGCCCCACGATTTTTAGCTCCCTCCTCCGGAATTCCTCTCCGCAATTAATTAATCACTGGGGGATCTAGGCAGAGATGAAGAATAGACGCGGTATTAGGCCGGCCCAGCGGCGGATGTGCGCATATTTCGGAGGATCCGCAACTCTAAGAGCTCTGCTGCCCCTCGGCGATACTATCTGGACGGACATTTTAACCCGTTTCAACGAGTCAAAGACCCCGTAGGGAATAGTCGGACAAACTGAGGCCCGAAGGCCATGCAATTTGCAAAAATTCCTGGGGGAGTCGCTGCGCAATCGGGATCTCGTTTCAACTAGGCGCAGTTAGCGGGAATACCCGGGGAGTCCGGTCCTTTGTCAACCGTCGCGGGGCTCCGAGACTTGTGACTCGATCCAACGGGACGATTCTGAGATGATTCATTTGAATGTGCCATGTTTAGGTGAATGGGGTAAATTCGGGGGAATTGGGAAACTGCAGGTGGGAAAACGACGCTTTTCAGGCGGATAACACTTTTTAGTTTACGTTTTGGCTCGGAATGGAAGCATTGACGTCGATCTATTTTTAGATTTTTTTATTTTGCGCGGAAATTATGCAGATGTCCACTGTGAAATGTTTTCTTCTCTATATTTGACTGGAGAATCGCTTTTTTTTAAAGAAAAAAATTTAACTGAATTTTCCAGAAAATGACACTGAATTCAATTTAACGGAAAAAGTCTATGAAACTCCAAGTTTCCCTGAAAATTCAAGGAAATTTCTGATTTTTTAGTGGAAGAACAATGAAGATTCCGAAATTTCCTAGAATTTTCAATGCAAACATGATAATTCAATAAGAAATTGCTCTGAAATTTCAAAAAATCTAAAATTCAAGGACATTTTTGCTTGAATTTCCTCAATTTTCATTAATTTTCATGGAATAATTCAACTGAAATTAAAAATTTCCATGAATTTTCCACGAAAACCACGAATTTTCAATGGTAAAATTCCCTGAAATTTCTATGGAACCGTCACTTGTTTCATATTTCAAGACTAAAGCCGGAAACTTCAGTGAACATTTTTTAACAGTGTACAATCATTGTATTCTCAGTGATGATGT